CTAGAATGATTTTCACGGCTACTTTCTGTAGCACTAACAACTTTGACTGGTTCTGTATGGTCTGTTTTTATGTTCTCCAACTTCCTAAGCTCCTAAGTGGGAATTTTCCCCTCAGTTTCATTGAAGAATTCCTTTTTTAATCCAAGTCCCCTATCCAGAGTTTTAAAATTTTGCAACTGAATGGTGAAATCTGGTTCTAGTCCTTTACAGAGTCCCAACTATAAAATGTGCTTATTTTTGAAATAACAAAATCACATTAAAAATGAATAGCAAGGGGAGGGTGAGAGTTCTGATCACTATTTTCACAGGACCCATGTTCTAACCCCAGCTCCATCAAATACCAAATTGTATGACATTTTGCAAATTACTTAATTTTCTTCACTTATAAAACAGGGGCAAAAATAACTAACTGCCTGATACAGCCCATGAGAATCAAATCAAATAATGAGGTGCTTTCACTCAAATCACAGCATTAAAAAAAAGGAGTAGACAGAATTTTACAAAGTTTTTGTCAAAAATATATACATTTTTTAATCCAATATAAAAACATAATATTTATACCACTAAAAATTAGAGAAAGAAGTCCTGAAAGTGGTCATTCAAATGTCTTAAGGATTGAGACTTATAATCACCAGGGGTTTTGCATTTAAAATGCAAAGTTTGACTGAAGGATATTTTACACAACAACCTAGAAATCAGAATGCTTCCAGATTGTCAAAGGGAAAGAACAATAACTTTGTTCATGTGGTATTGGTCATACTAGCAGTTCCAAGGGTCTAGGATGATGAAGCTAAAAAATAAAATTTATAATAGATCTGCTGAGCCTCATTGTTTTCTAACAGAGGCTTGACTGTATAGACCCGGCTTGTTTCACCAGGCAAGAATATTGGTATGTTGTATTATAGTGGCAACTTGTGGGAAATTCTTTCCCTAGTGAGGGTGGGGGGTGCTCTTTTATAAGGGACAGGAAATCTGCTAAGCATTGCATACTCCTATTACACACTCATGCTTCATTTCTTTGTCATTTCTCTATTTATTTAATCATACATCTATCTGTCTGTCTATGTGTCTATTTTATCTGGAAAGAGAATATTTCATGTCCTAAAACTATATTTTTTTTTCTGATTTCCTATATTTATTTCCTGGAAGATTTTATGGAATTAAAATAAATCTCATTAGTTTCTGTTTTCTACAGGCCACATTTTGTATTTGAATAACATCTGTAGTCAATACATTGTTAGTTTTGCAGATCTTCCCCTAAATATCAACCTGGGAGGGAAATGAGGAAAGCAGAAATTAAATTCTGTGTCTCGGCTAATATTTTATTACTTGCATTCATATTGGGTTCCTGCTTTGTGTTTCACCCCACATTCAACCTATCGGTTAGAACCAAAATTCTGCTAACAAAGTCAAATAACAAATGATAAACTGAATTTAATAGCAAATTGTTTTAATAGTAAATGTTTTGTTCTTGTTTCTTCCCCAATCTTTCAAGTGCCCAGGGCCATGTATTTTGACATCCCACTGGAAAAGGGAGAAACAAGTATTATTAAAAACCATCCACCCAGAAGACTTCAAGTAAGATGAATTTAAAAGGCTTCATAAGGAATTTCTTGGATTTAATGGTAACATCCCTTTTTAACTATAATCATAAAAGAG